CCGTTCGTGCAGTCAGCAAGACTGAAATCAGGTAGATCGATAAGGCAGCCAAAATGGATGACTTGCGAACAGTATTCAAGTGAGTTCGACAGTTTTCTGGTAGTCCGGTAAGTCCGTCCTTATTCAAAATATTAAACGTGTCCCATTGGTAGGGAAGAAGGAACGCCGCAAGAGATGAGCAGAATACGCGCCATGGTTCATGACTGTAACTGATTTGATTATTTTCAGTTAAACTTTGCTTAAGAACTATTCTTTTATTTCAGTTTACACTGAATGAATACATGTTTTTTCAAACGATATGTTATGCCATGTGCAGATGTATACATTTGCGAATGGTGTGATCTTCGTCGACTCATCTGCAGTCAGTGGACAATAACTACATTGAAAATCCGATCAGACCTCACAATACGATGTTACTTTATTGTCTGGTTCGAAATTATTATTTCGTACGAATGATCTCAGATTATATCTTAGACAGTGCTATTAGGTTCTCTGTCGCCTGTCATGGCGAATCACCGGCATTGTCTGGCGATTAACTAAAGGTTGCCTGCAAACGCAAAGACTAGACTAAAAAAGTCTTTTTTTTCGGGGCACTTGAATGCTCTTGTGCTTGATGATCAAATTCAATACAAACATTTTTGCGCATAAGTGTCTGGTACATAGCTTGCTTTGCCTGTAATGAATAGACAGTTATCGTTTTCCGTCTTTGAAGGCTTGTCGGCAAGCTCAGCAATAGTTTGCTTCCTAAATGCTCTTTAATTAAGCATTTGATGCGATTCATGGCCTGAAGTTAGATTATCCAGGCAGTGAAGTTGTATTTTAACATGGTGTTTATATTGAGGATGTGACAGAATGGGAAAGCTTCTTTTTCAAATATCCTGGTGAACTGAATTATCTGAAGTCTAGTAGTGTAAGAATAATCTGTATTTGCGGATTGTGTATTAATTTTCGCTCATACCCCTGTATATGTTTCCAGTGGTCTCTGCCTTCCGTCAAACAAAAAGGCTCCACGCGCTTGGTTCAAAAGTGCAGCAGTGCTAGACATTCGGTGTAGTTAGACATCCAAATCTCAGTGTATGCCTCGTTGGCTGCACTGTGACATTGCAAAATGTCCATCTTAAAAGTCTCTTTTTTGGCAACCTAACGGCGTCTTTGTATTTTAATATCTGGGGTCACTGTCAGATTCATGATACTGATAAACGATATTACCATCTTGATCAAATTTCTTATGAATTAAGTGATAGCTGCCATAAGCAATGATTTTAACATTATAATTTAGATGCAACCTTTGATTTAAGTGTGGTAATTTTTATGACTGGAAGCAGCAACGACGACGTATGAGCAGTACTCCAGAGGAGTCACTAATTTTTTTAGCACATGGACGACAGTCAGAGGGCAGTGAAACAAGCTAAACGGTTGAGTTATATTGTGAGCCTGGCATTGTCGTTTTTTGACATCCAGCCGATGGCTCAATTGGTGGAGAATCGAAACCATTAGAAAAATTTTCAATGGTTGCTGCAATCGCAACTCGAAATAAATAGCGTACTTTGGAAATGAATGATGTGCGACTGTAAAGATAGTCTGCGCTGTTAATTATCTTTTCGTAGTTATCGCATTACTCCTTTATCCCCTAACAGAAACAAATTATGAAATCGAGATGTTTATACGCGATTTCAATAAATCTTTAGTGATTTACCAAGATTCATTGAACAAGAAATAATCAAGTTAGTTACTGTCAAAACGGTTGTGAAAAAGTTAGTGAGGAAATCCTTTTCACAGTATTTTTGCCCCGTTACTCATATGGAACAGACGGCAGTTTATCGCTGTGGAATTATAGCATCTGTGTTGTATCGATATCGCTGCCATTGTATGTTGGTTAGCACAATACCTTACGAGTTATCAGTGAACTTTCAAAAGTCGGCGCTAGTTCTGTGTTTGTGGAATCAGAAATATGAATTGCAGAACCGGAAGTATATTTCTGAAAATAATGAAATAAGAAACTTATTTCAGCAGAGTGCAAAAATTCCATCTTCGTCTTCATCTTCTATGGCCGCTTCTCCTTTCGGGTTGCGGAGGCAGACGCATCACAGTGCTTCCAAAGTTCTCGATCCTGTGCCATAGTCTGAGCTTCTGCAGAAGACAACGAGTCTGGAACAGACTCCTTCCATTATTTGCACCAGGTTAAGCTTAGCCGTCCTTTTGACCTTCTACCGATCGGTGGGGCAAGAAACAGTTGCAAAAATTCTATTTATCCAAAAAAATATCCATTTTATTCAATTCTTTAAGCTAAAATCAACAAGTCATTAAGAATGGAAAGTACTGAATTAAAATTTGCCTTGAATGAACAGTTTTATTACTGCTTAGAAGCAAAAAATTCAGTAGGGATTCAGCCTTATTAACTGTTTAATCTTCTGCCGATTAATTTTAACTTTTAATTGCATTAGATGTTTAATTATTCTGTCGTAGATTTCTTATTTGTTTATTTTTTCACAAAGTTATGATTGAATCGTTTATTGAAAGTATATTTTAAGCTTTCGACCCTTACACAGTTCGTCTTAAACTGATTTTTTTATTCAGAATTAAATCATCTGAAAGCATATTTTCTGTGAGCACAATTGTGTTTTGGTCTGCGTCAAATTTTCTGCCTTCGAGGTCATATTTACTATAGTAGAAACGACTCATCTGCTTTTCAGTGGTCCAAAAAACAACTTTATGATATTTCCTTACACAGGCATTTTGTTCAAGTGGGTCACTCTACGGCGAATCATTTCCGGACTGCTTTGGTAATGATATTGTGGGGTGATTTTAAAAATGTATAAGGTGTGCGAGAGTGTTGATTCGTTATGGCATCATATGTGCGGCTACGGCGTATTTGTGTAAAGTATTCTAGTATATTTAGCATTTTGATTAGCTACAAGATGTTAAATACTTAGTTTTAAACAGTGATAATCTGTTCAGTATTCGATAACGTATGGCATATAAGTATTGAAATAGATTAAATCACGGAAGAATGACGATGAAGTACTCTTGTTCATATGCTTTAAAAGATAGTTTGCGGATAAAGAAAGTTAACATTAATTCGATGCACTTTACTTCGGTGCATCGAGACAGCGCGCAAAAAATTACGCCGAAAGTAAAATCGAATTTGTGTTGGTCGGTACATGCCGGTTCGATGACAGGCGATTCAAAGATGTGTAAATAATAACCTGTGGAAGCAAAATTTCAATAAATTTGTACAGAACAAGTTTCTGGCAAGACCACATATGATTGGATTATATTTCAGCTTTTTTATGCTTACGCAAAAGGAATTTCAAAATGCGTAAAGTAAACTCGAATAAATACCAGTATTGATTAATAAGGCTGTTCGGAAGCGTTTATTTTCCCATACTTTTGTTTGAGCAATGATACTGCATTAAGTATGCGTTGAATAGTAAAAAATGTTGCTGATCAGATGGCTTCGTTTTTTTTCAAAAGAGAATTGAGTGTTCACGCGGAAGTCGCGCAAATAGAAAAGTTAAAATGCACCTCTTAGAAATGCTTGAAAATAGAACTACCCAAATAATGGATTTTGGTCAATTGAGTCATTTATTCGTACGTTGGTGTCCATGCTGAGCATTGTAAAGTTCATTAAACGGTTTATTTTTATACACCGCAAATGGATAAGTCGGTCAGTCAAGTGTTTGACTGGTACTGATTAGTTTCGCTTGTCACCTGAGTTTTTTTTCAGAGTAATCAAGGTTGGGTTTTCCTGTTTGTTGTGTGGTTCGCAGCCTTAGTAGCGTCTGGAGCCGAAAAATTTCTCCGTTGTCTATGAATGAGCTGTTTTATGCATTTTTCAGTTTTCATAATGTTTAATTGTTATATTTTTGTGTTTAGAAATCCAGTGCTAGACACAAAGCATGGATCATAGTGTAAAACACCTGCTGATGCTTCAACCAAATAACATAGGTCATATGGACAAACAACGTTGCTTTGTGTCAGAAACCACTGAAACAATTTTATTGAAGAAGAAAACAGAATCGAAATTTAAGAATTTGATTAGCTATCATAATTCTACTTTGTCCTTGACCTTGGTACCCCCGATGACGATAACAACAATAACAATTTCTTAAATAAGATTTAACGAGTTTAGAGTCATAAAATGCGTTTGCGTCTTTTTCAAATTTATGGCATTATGTTTTTACTAAAAGCGTTTTCATTTAGAAGGTTCTGAACAAGTATTACTCATTCTACGAGGAACGCCAAAAATGTTACAACGATGCATGGCTCGATTCTCTGTCACTGAAGCATTGCGGTTGAAAAGAAGAAAAATCTGTGATGTTGTTGCAAGGGAATTTCCGAATGTCTGATTTTGCCGCTATGTGATTTATCTAAATTATTCACTGTGCTCGTTGTAAG